CCAGAACTTCAAAGCTATTCAATGACTACTTTAAGTGAATTTAGTCTCAAATCTGTAAAAATAGAGTGTTTCCAAAATATTGATCACTTTGAAAAAGTAAGACAACATCCTTCAATAAATATGAACCCAATGCTTATATGTCAGGCACTGAGCAAAGGTGCAAAAACGTCCCTGTAAATGGTGACGGAAGGAGACTTGACTTGGTGTGGTGAGCACACCGTACAATTAGCCCTGGCTGGTGTGGCTCACTGGACTGAGTGTGGGCCAGGGAACCAAAGGGTTGCCGCTTCGATTCCCAGTAAGGGCACGTGCCTGGGTTGCAGGCCGGGTCCCCAGTTGGGGTGCAAGTGAGAAGCGACCACACACTGATGTTTTCTCTCCCTCTCTCTAACAGTAAATAAATAAAATGTTTTAAAAAACCCATGCCATACAATTACATAATGCCAATGGTCTATTATATAATAGAATTGTACTCCTGAAATCTATACAATTTTATTAACCAGTCACTCCAATAAATTCAAGAAATAAAAGAAAAAGAAAAATAGGTCTCTCGTGCTCTTGGCAACGAGATGAAGGACAGCAACGGACAAGACACTGAGGGTCCCACGCATAACGGCACACACGCCAGACAAGCCTGTGGATGCAGCGCGGTCCACCCCCTTAGGGGGAGGCCTCTCACTCCACCATTCTTCCAGTGCAAAAGGAACCTAGTAACATCAAGTGTTTCTGTACAAGCAAGTTTTCAGGTCACGGTATCTCAGCATGACCACAGGGGTGTGGAGGATTTATATTTTCACTGCAACACACTCATGTCTCAAATTATAAGCCAAAATATTATTGGTACGAATACCCTGACCACAGTGAAAGGTTAACCAGAAGCCCATAAACTAAGCTGATAAAGAAGCTAATAGTAACTCCCACGAAGAACAGAACAAACAAAAACCACGAGAGGAAGCACAGGGGAACGTCGGCACCCTTCCCAGTGACTGCAGGAGTCCCGGTCTGCACATGACCCAGCTCTGCACTGCGCCCAATGTCTCAGGAGAGACTCCCTGGGAGAAGGCGGTGTCGGACAACAGTCAACTCGAACGTGCTAGTTTTGGTTGATGAATACCATGTTTCAGTAATCCTTAATAATTCACTTGGCAGGTTGTGAATCAGTAGCCCTTGGGCATATGTTAAATATGAATAACCATGAAGCAATAAGGATGAAGAAAAGGAGCTGCACTTCCCACAAGGCGGGGCAAGGCAGGAGCATGACGCTGGGGATCAGTGTGGGGATCAGTGCGTCGAGGGAGCACAGCTGAGGAAACGAAGTTCTTCAGAAGGAAGAAGAGGTAAAAATGGCTCACACTGAAACACTCAACTATGAGGTCATAATAAACTGGCCAAGCAAGGTGTTTCAAACCTTCTATTTGATGTGGACAGAACCCATAAAATTATGCCTGGAAGCCATAATTTCAAGCAGCAGGAAAGGTACCAGCAGGGTTCATTCCTTAACCAACTTAAGGAATGCATCAATTCTTTGCTATCTCAAATGCATTCCTAGTTTTCAAAAGCTTAGAGAGAAAGGGGAATATTCTCTAAGAGCCCACCACTATTGATAAGATTAACTTTACCTCATTTAGCCTTGTATATATCACACAGTTATCTACAGTTAAAAGGTTTTCTTTTTTAAACACATTTAACCAGAGAGCATTCCCTTTTAGAATGGACACTGAGAGTAAAATAACAAATATGTACTTTTTTCCTAATCAGGAATATTGGCAAGAAAACTATTTCAAAAGCTGATTTATTGAATAGATAAACCAAAGGGAAAACATTCTTTTACACTCTTGAAAGTTATTAAGTCTCCTAAAGGCTGTGGCCCAAGTTTTGGCATTTACTACTTCCTGAGTATTCTGTTTTTGATTTCCTAATTTGAATACCAGGGAAAAAGAACTATCCAAATTCAATGGTAAATGCCTTGAAAATGTCAAATATTTGAAAGAAGCTAAGCTGGTAGTTTACTACCCGCAAGTAACTCTTGTGAAAGAGAGAACTGGTTCCGCTGTGGCTCTCACGCCCTCCTTTACAAGGGTCCCCCACCACACAACAGAAAATCTCTGATTTAGACTAGCGTAATAGTGATTGCCATCCTCAAGAATTCCTAATAATTTCTCAAACTATATAGCTGTTAGAGTATTGAAGGGAGAGCTGTATTTTAAAGGATTCAAAGTGACGTCTCAGTTCATGATAACAAATTACTTCATTATAAGGGAATGTACAGGCAATTCTTGAGACTAAACTAAGCTCATGAGTTGAAATAAGCTGTTGCAAATGCACTTTGGGAACACACAACAATTTTTTTTTATTCTCTTGCCAAAACATACTTCAGAGTTCTTGTTTCCCCCTATTCACTATAGAATAGGGGAAATGTTTTTATTTCCTCTTGATTCTTAGCCAATTTACTAAGGGAACATTTTGCTGACAAAGCAGAAAAAGCCCACATAGCATATGCTGGCACACTTCCTATAATCAATAATTTAAAAATAATCATGGAGTACAGAAATAATGAAGGGTTTGGGGAAACAGCGAAAAGCAGGTCACAGACATTAAGCAGTAGGTCAGGACAACATGAATCCTGGGAAATGAGAAAGCTCACAAAATCACCACAGTGATTTTTTTTTTTAAAAGACCCATGAAATATAAGATTAGAAAAACAGGAAATAAAAATCAGCTTTTTGTTTAAAACAAAACAAAACACCAAATTTCAAACATCATAAATTACCTAATATTTGGAAAACCAGCTCTAATAAATGCCACTAACCAAACATCAGAAAAATGTCATACCTGGACACAAGCATCTTTATAACCTCACAGAGGACGCTACAAAGCAAGATGTCATCTCAGGAAGAGCCAGCTCCACAGATGGTGAAAAACCACGTGGAAGAGGAATTCAAAAGCCAATGCTAATCTGTAGTTTGGAACTGCTATAGGAAGGCATAATTCATGGAGAAAAAAGGAGGTCTTCTGTACAAAATCACAGCTGAGGGAGGAAGAAAGATATCACTGCCCGTACACAAGGCCATATGCATACAAAGGAGAGGTAGTTTATATTATCGAGATGAAATTATTTGGAGGAAAACTTCAGTTGCCAGGGAAAAACTTCCCAAAGGGCAACATTATATTATAGTGCTACCTCCTTCCAGCCCATCAGAATTTCAAATTAACCCCCCCCCCCCCAGAGCAAAAACTGGAAATCCCTCCACCCCAATCTAGGCAGGGGCTGAACCCATGGGTTCAGACCATAAAATGACGTAAACAGCTGTGAACCTTGGGGCTTTTTCAGTCTAACATGGCTCCCAGCACTCGAAATGGGACCAACAACCACTGTTAACGCCGACCCCTTACATCGACATACTGTTTTAGTGTTTAGATGAAGTGCCTCCACTTTTATCCCCTAACAGCCGTTGGGTGGTAGAATCACAGTACTTCACTTTCACACAGCTTGTAATTTGGAGGGTACTTTCCATACGGCGCTTTTTCACAGGCGAGACCCACGTTGGTTAAGTCACTTGTCTAAGGACAAGCCGCTGAGGTGCTGGGACAACTGCCGGACTCTACTTTGTCAATAACAGACACTTTCAGCCCTTCAAAGTTCAAAGTACAATGCCCGAAGATCAACCTCACTCAGAAAGGACAGAACTGCAGTCTCAGAGGACCATCCCTGCCTTGATTTCCCTCCCCAAAGACAGGGAAACTGAGGCAGTCAGTCCGGAAGGGCAAAAGCCTGATCTGGAGGCACGCAGGGAGTGTTGGTGGGGTGGACTTCCTCCAGCCCACCAGCCCTAAGCCCAGAAGCAACTGAATTCTATGTTTCAACACACGGGGTCGGTCTCCAGAGAGAACAGTCTCGCCAGTCCTGCTACCCTCTCACTATTCCTCACCGGGAATTTCCTATGGATGGAGGTCTCTTCCTCCCAGAACCACCCTGCTATCCCCTCTGCTCAAGGCCCTTCACCATGTTCCACATCGGGCCTCCGGAGCACGGGAATCCGCTGGCTCTGGCTCCCAACTCCTATCCCCTCTCTCCAAGATATCCCTCTACCCCGAGGCATTTTCATGTCTCCCGGGGAAATGTCGGCTTCCCACCCGTGCCACCTAAGCCTCCAACTCCACAAAAGGGAACCCTCCCAAAGCATCCTCCCATCTACCTTTCCGCCCTGGACACCGCCCAGAGCTTTCCTAAATATCAGGAGCCTCCCGAGAGCTACCTGCCTCTCACCTGGGCCGCTTTAGCTGCGGCCTTCTCAGAAGGACAACCCCCGAGAATCTCCCGTCTAGAACCCCCTAAAGCGAGAACACCCTCTTCCAGGAACATCTTCAGGCGCCTTCAGCGCGGGCCTCCGTGGAGAACCTCAGGACGTTTCCCAGGCTTTGCTGAACGCTACCCATCCCGGGCCCCTTCCCGGAGCCTCCCCTGACACCAGTCAGGTTCCCCACCGCAAGCTCAGGGGACTGTCCCCTCCCTTACCGATGTCCCCTGCCCTCGGACTCCCCCCCCAACCCCGTCCCCAGGGGCTTCCCGGAGCACGGCGGCTGGGCTGCGGCACTGACTTTCTCCAGCTCCAGGATCCACTCGAGAGAGGGGGAGGCAGCGGCGGCGCGACTCCTTTGTGACAGGTCCGAGAGAGCGGTAAAGATGGACGCGAGGCCACGGCGCTGCCATTACGCGCAGGGCCCACCCCTGCTTCGTACTGCCCCAACCCACCGACAGTCCCCTAGGAAACGCCCCTTCCGCGGTGGCAATCCCTCTCCCTGACAACCAATCACCAGTCCCGGATGTTATCACGTGATCTCATGGCCCGGCCCGCCCCCCAGGCGCGAGCTGGCCAATCCCGGCTGAGGTGTGAATGGTCCAATCGAGGGTCTCCCGCCAGCTTTCTGGGCACCGGATTTCCATCGGACTCCTGGGGGAAACAGAGGTGCGGATTGGGTTACGCCACCGGAAGCGGGGCGGACTTTTGTTGTGGCGGTGAGGAACAGGAAGCCCTGAAGGGTCAAAAGGAATACAAACGCAAAGACTGTTTTCTTATTCTTCCTTTTTTTCTAAAGATCGAGCGGCGTTTGCGGTAGCAGTTCGGGGTGGGCGCTACCGAGGAGAGGGTGTCTCGCCTCCCGCGCGTCGGTAGGTGAGTGTGGCCTGGGCCTTCCGTGGGTAGGCGGTGAAACCTGGACTCCAGCTTCTTCGCTGAGGAGATGGGGGGCTGCGTCTGACTTGAGGTTGAAGGCCAGGCCTGTTCTCAGTCCGTGTACTCGCCCAGTGTTCTTAGTCCCCAGGGCCTTAGGCTTGCCGGGCCCAGCCTGAGGTGGCGGGGGGGGGGGTGCCGAGGGAGCCCACGGGATGGCCCTCGGGTTGAATCGGGAGGCTACCAGACTCTTTCCAGCAGAATGAGGACTTCAGGCTTCTTGCCGGCTTCCCTACACCTCTTCTGCTAGGTGGGGCCACCGAGGCTCCTGGCGAGGAGCGGGCTCCAATTCCAGAGGTCTTGGGACGGCTCCAGGCTACCCAGGAGATGTGGGGATGCCTGGTTGGAAATGGTTGAATCACAGCACGTAAGTAAGTGTAAGATGGAAAGCACATTTCATTCTGTACCATGTACCCATTGCCGTAGCGTACTCGTTTTGCGGAAAACTTGGGAAACAAAGACCGAGAGTTGAAGCACCTTGTTGGAGAGTTGGTGGCCCCTGTGAATGCCAACGTCCGCACGGGGGGAAAGGAGGATACCTGTTCGGACTTAGCAGTGGTTCTTAACTCGTAGAAAACACGATCTTCTGCGGCCCCTTTAAAATGCAGATTCTCGGACCCCATCCCCGGATAGTCTGACTGAGTAGGTGTGGAGTGGGACCCAGGAAACCAGGCGTCGGCCTGGGGGGTCAGAATTCCCCATGACCTCGTGGGTACCAGCTGCGAGGTAAGATTTGTCGATTCTTCAGATGTTTGGTTTACTGATGTGTGAAGAGAGACCCTATAAAATGGCTTCTGAACTCTTGACAAGGAATCATTGTGTAGACTCCTCTTTGATCCAACAATTGAACTAAGGTAAATAATCTTTTATAGTCTTTCAAATAGAGCTTGAGGATGAGCTGTTAACACTTTGGAAGGGTCTGAAAGTGGAGGCCTCCCAATGGTCCTCATCTGAAGCCTTGGTGCCTTACGTGCCAGCAGGCACATTCTTTGCAGCTCTCGGAAAGACTTGCCTCCAGACCATGTGCCTGGCCAGCAGTCTTTCCTTTGACCTTCTAAGAATGTTGATGTTCAGTTCGAGTCAAGTTGCTGCTTCAGAAACTAAAAACCACGTATCTGGTAAATGAAGTAATGTGAATGCCTGGTTCCACCATAGGCTCATCCGCAGTGGAATTAGGCCTTTGTGAGCTGAATTAAACAGTTTCAGGGTGCTCACTGTGGCGCACCTTTGGAATCTGTTTCATTCCTGAATGTGATCTGTTTCACTTCGTACTAGAGGATGCTTGATTGTTCAGTCTTTATATTTGGTTTTCTGCATTTTTGCTATGAAATATCCAACTACGGATTTGTTTTTGTCAGATTTATTTGATGTTCGTTCAAGTTGTTGAGTTTGTGGTTTAGTGTCTGTGATTCGTTTGGTAAAAGCCTCGGTCTTTGCTTATCCATATATTGCTTCTGCCCCATTGTTTTTATCTTCCTTCTTTGCTGGTTTAACACAGGCCTTTTCCCTCTGTTCTCTTTTGTAATTCTCCATTCTGGATAATTTCTGCTTCGTTAATTCTCTAACCTATTTCTAATGTGTTATTAAACTCATCCATTGAAGTCTTAAATTTGGTTACTGCATCTTTTTAGTTCATGAGGTTCTGTTTGGTTCTTTTCCAATGTGCTATACCGCTGTTGTACAGCTTCTTTGTTCGCTGCTATAAACTTTGAGGCTTGGTGCTTGTTTCTTTGAACAGCCCCAGTGGGGTAGCTCAGGTGGTTAGAGCACCGTCCTGCTATGGCAAGCTGCAGGTCCTGTCCCCGGTCAGGGATGGTTCTCAGAACTGTCTTGTTAGCTTTTCTGTTTAAGAATTATTTTTAAAATTTCCTCCAGTTATTTTATTATTACTAATTTTATTACAGAAGTATAGGGTTGGTCTCAATAACCTCACCCACTATTTCTGTAAATGATGGTACCCTTCCTTTCATTTTGATTTTGGAACGTGAAATTTGTCATTCCAGTCAATCCTGAGTTAAAGATTGTTGGTTGTTTTTTTTTGGTTTGTTTTTTTTTTGTATGACTAAAACTTACACGGCTTTTCATGGCAGTGTCGTGGCTATCAAAATTAAGCTTCTCTGATGCTTTTTTTCAGTTTTCCTTTTCTGAACTCCTTAGCTTCTATTCTCTTACAGCATTTAATCTTACTCCTCTTTTCTAACGTGCTCACGTGCCGACCTCATCTCTTACTGAACAGTTTCCTCATGTGTTAGATGGCTGAGTGCCAGGGTAGTGCCAGGCCCTGTGCCTTGAGCGTAATATGCCCCTTGTAAGATTTACTTCAGAAATACAACTGAATGAGTTAGTTGGCCTTCTGTATGCTTGTGTAACACCAAGCCTTTATTTATTTTTCAGAAAATACGGTCTTAAAAAGGCGTTACATACAGCCTGGAGGTGGGGAGGTATGATTTAGTGTGGGTTAGTTGCCATAGCCAGCCCAGATGGCAAAATAATCAAGGCTACCCTCGCAAATCTCTTCGGGAAGCACCACGTTGGATGTAGGTATCCCGGCACGGCAAAATTCCCACGTGGCCAGGATTTCCTCCTGCTTTGGAACAGATGCTGTTTTTCTTCCTGTGAGCCGCGGATGAAGTAGTTGGTTTGCATTTAGGAGTCACAATATGTGACAACTACAACTACTATTAGAATTGTACATGGTGAGGGGAGTGTTTATTCTCTGACAGGCCCGCATGAACTGGGGAACTGAGGACTGGCTAAGGGAGCCAGTATTTAAGTTCTCTTTCTCTTCCAGTGCGTATAGATGAATTCAAGGCAAATGCATGTATAGTAAGACTCAGTTCTCATGGGAAGATAAATGCATATATAGATTTAAAAAAAAACACACAACTTTTTATTGCATGAGTTTTTTTTAGGTGCCTAGACAACCAGAAGGTTACTACCAATTGTTTTTCATATAAACATTTTCAATATGAATTAAATTGGTATGCCGTACCTGCATTTTTGAGGTTCTTTTAGTTCCCCTTGGTACTGGGGGATGTTAAATAAGCCTCATTGTTAGAAGATTGAGGATTACTTTGTCTAGTAATAAATGCTAACAGTGTTAGTCATTCTCCTAAGTTGATAATGTAGGGAAAATTGGCTTGATCTAAATGACTGTAGCTGGCGGAAGAGCCTTCTGGCCAGAAAGCAGTCTTTATTTGGAATATAGTTGAGTTTGCCAGATGGAACATTCCTCTTAGTTGCTGTCCTGTCTTTTGAAATCCCATGTGACTGGAACATCAGGGTAGAAATGTAGAAAGAGCAGCATTTAACTATATCTACTGACAAAGGGAAAGTGTACGGGCCTGTTGCTTTTGCTGCCCGAAGAGAGAAGCCTTAGAACACACTGACACAGAGTTTCCCCGGTGTGTTCTCACACTTCAGTCCGTCTAAGGTCAGCCTTGGGAAGAAGCAGTGGTCAGTGCTGTACAACGAACGTGAAGTAGTCTGCCGTTACAAAACTTAATTCCGTAGGAAACCAGATCTCATTGACTTGTATCATGGCGCTAGCTAGGTGGAATAATTTCTCATTGCAGCCACAGCAGTTATTTTGGAGGCAGAGGTGTAAACTTGGTATCTTAAAACTTGTGTCGCATGCTATGTAACACACCAAGCCTGTTTCTGCCCCAGCAACCTGGAAATGAAACACCACAGTCTCCAGTCCAAACACAGGAGAGCACTGTATTACAGTTACTTTGGCTTGAAATATAAGAACTTTGTTTTTTTGGCTATCTCGCAAATGTGAAAACTATGTTCTTTATTTGTATCAGTTTGAAACTTTTAAGTTTGGACAAAAGGATTTTGATACGGTTTCAGGTTTCCGTGAATTCCCTATTTGGAGAACTTAAATAATTCTTTTAAAAATAATGTAATGTTTAGTTTGATAATTTAACTCGGGTTGCCTTGAAAAAAAAAGTTATACGAGTAAAGAAAAGTTGATAGCATTCTTTCTAAAATTAAATACAATGAGGACAAAGAAAGTATTCCTACATGAATCTTCATAGTTAGATTCCCAGGACCCTAGTTGTTTGTTTATTTATGTTTTGTTTTGAATTATTATAGCAAACAAAGAGAGCAATAAGAGACTTGTGAAAATTTAGCTAGGCAGTAGGAATTAGAAATAAACACTTTAATTAACTTCTCATTTTTCTCTCATTTCCAGAAGGAGGTAAATGAGTTGTAGGTACTCATCACCTCTCTATTGCAGAATAAACAGAGAATGAATATTGGACTCTTCAAAAAAAAAATGCTTTGTGTTGTAAATTCTTATTAATGAGTTTAGAGAGCATTTTTTAGTTAGTTGAAATTAAAGGAAAGTAGTGAGAGTTAGTCCTGAAGAAGACATCAATTATGTAGTAAAGTGATTTAATTTTTGGTCTTGTGTTTCCTACTGTTCAAATTGTATGGTGCTTGAGTAGACTTTCCCATGGGACGTGGAAGACTCAGCAAGTACTTATTTAATGTCTACCATTCTCTGTAACTTAGATCAAACAGTGCCTAGGAATATTTATGTGAGACCACTCCTCCCTGCTTCAAGTCCTCCAATCCTCTTCATGGTTGGTTTATTCCATGAGTACTTATTCCATGCCTAATGTATACCAGCCACTGGGTGAATAGGCACCGTGGATACAAGGAGCTGTTGGAACCGTCGTAGATGGCAGAGCGGAAGGACGAGTGCTGTAGTGGAGGCGTAAACAAATGGCTGTGGTAACAGGGGCTGCACCGGAAACAGGGACACTGATGGGGCGCCACTGTAGTGGTCCGTGCAGCAGGCAGCCCTGAAAAGGAGAGATGAGACAGGAAAGGGCTCTTCTCTTAAAAAAAAAAAAAAAAGAAAGAAAGAAAAAGAAGGAAGAAGAAAGGAGCGGGTGGATTAAAAAGAGGTCACGGTGCGGTGGGAACAGCAGGACCGGGTGACCGGTGGGATGAGAGGAGGAGGAGGAGAAAGGGGCGCAGGTGTTTGGCCAGGTCGGTCCGTGTTCACGGCCTTCACTACTGCCGCTTACCAGCGCTCTTCACCTGGGGGACTCGTTGTCTGCAATGGTGTCTGGTTTTAGCTAGTTCAGGAGTGCTGCCTCTTAAAAGTTTATTTCCTTTATGCACACCATAGGATTTGCACAGTGCTGGACACAGTTCACCGTTCAGCACAGTGCTGAGTTTGTTTAAATTGAACTAGTAAACGGTACACTAGAGAACCGCACTAAAGGGAAAATACAGACTCGCCCAATTATTTATACACGGACATTCTTCTAACGTCTCTCGGTTTGGTGTGGTCCCTTTCCCACTTCAGGTGTCATGACTGTTTATGTCCCTGATTTATTTATGTCTCCCCCACTTCTTGAGTGCAGACAGTATTTCTCTCTCTCACACAACCTGTCCAGAGCTTAGCACAGTGCTTCGTGGTAATGCAGACCTTTCAGAGCATTTTGAAGTGTGTGTCAAACACGGTGTGAAGTGCTTTACACCAATTACCTTGTTTATCCTCACCAGAGATTTATGTCGTGCAGTGCTATTTTAGTCCACTGGCCAGTGCAGTATGGATGAGGGAACCAAGGCTCAGAGGAGTTAAGTGACTTGCCCAGGGCCGTACAGCTGGTAGGTGGCCGGATCAGGTTTCGAACTCCAGTCTCTTGATTTTAGAGTCTTCTGTGCTCTTTATCATCACCTGTCCTCCCTCTTGGTGAGAAGACTGCAGCGCAAGGTACTTGCAGTGTATTTAGTTGGATTATACTGGGTTGTAGTGAAAGGTGCGAAGTTAACCGTACTCCTTGGCAGTATTTATTGACAGTGACATTTTGAATTCTGAAAAGGCCTGCATATTTGTGGAGAAAGAATATTCCCTGTCTGTGACTTCTCCAAACACAGCAGATGACCGAGTTAATTGGCCAGGGAGCCACTGGAGGCAAGGGGCGGACCACAGTTGATGCGCCAGGGAATGAGGACCTACGGAGGAAGTGCAAGTGAAAAGAGAGATGGATACAGCCGTCTGCATGTAGTCTTGTCTCTTTTAAACTCACACGTTTATTATAATTAGCTTTATTTTGGCATCAAGACAATGTCAGGCTGGTAATATTAGGTGTAAAGAGCAAACTTCTATAAATATTCATTAGTTTTGACTGTGTTTTCAGGAAACCAACCCACTGAGGGCTGAGGAGTAGCAGAACGTCTGTCAAATTCTAAAGCCATTGTCTTTAAGTTTTCTTTTTTTAATGAGCTTCTGCCTTGTTTTCATGAACCAACTGTGATTCCTGATTTTGTCCCTGTGTGTGGCAGATGGGTAGCATAGATTTAACTCTTTGGGTAAAAGTTGAATTCTAACACTTATGGGGAAAAGATTGATGAAAAAGAGAGTAAGAAGTTCTTGGAATTCCATCAATTTGCCTTTTTTCAAAGGTGAGAAATCTTGGGAAGATCCTTATTTCTCTAGAGCAGCAATTTTCAACCTTTTAATCCCATAGCACACAATAAACTAATTGCTGAAATGCTGCGGCACATCAAAAAATATATTTTTTGCTGATCTCACACAAAAAAATAGGTATAATTTGACTCATTCACACTGGTCAGTTATTTTTGTGTTGACTATTGTCATTTTTTTATTTGACAACCTAAGGGAAAAGAGGCCAGTGCCCCTAATTAAATAGTCAGATATTGCATGTTTTAAAATTTCTGCAGCTCAGGCCTGACCACTGTGGCTCAGTGGATCGGGTATTGTCCGCAAAACGAAAAACTCTGCGGCACACCGGTGGGCCTGCCGCTGCACGCCAGTTGAAAGTCACCGCACTAGAGTTTCCATTTCAGATTGAGACCCTCAGCTACAGATATCCTAAAGGCTTTGTCCCCGAGTTTCAGGGAGTTTTGTTAAGGTGAATGAAGGTAGGTTCTGGATGAAAATCCCCAGATACCTGGTGGAGAATCAGATTAGGTGGGCGTAAAGGACTCGTTCCACTCTGAGTTGTTACTAGGAAATAAGGGTGAGGGGGAGAAACCAGACTGCCGACACGGGGTGAGGAAGGAGAGCTACAGCTAGCAGAGGGCAAGAAAGGGGGAAATTGAGCGTCCAGCATGTCTCCCATCCATTTAGAGCCCTACGTAGCTGACATCGCCTCTGCCAGGGACGTTTAAGAAATTGCTGGCTCCTGTTTTACAAGCGGCCATTCTGCAGAAATTGGATGTTTGGCATGTGCACAGAGACCGAACAGTTCTGCTTCTGTAACGGGCGTCTGGGAGGAGACACTGAGTGATGCCGAATCGGAAGAGTCCAATCAGTAGGCCTCGGTGGGGGCACTAGGTTCTGTCGGTTAACTTGGTTTTCTTTCTAGGAAATTTTTAAATTCTCTATTGTTACACTGAACTGAACTTCAGCAACAGTAGAACTTAGGCTGAGACTCTCCTCTTGTTCTGAATGTTTGGATTTATTTTCTCAGCTTTTTCATCTTTATTACATAGAAACTCGGCAAGGACATTCTCAGCACTGGAGTTTGATGCAGGGCAAGAGCTGAAATTAACACATGCGTTTCAGGCAGGATCCGTGGTGCCTGGGGAGGGCTGTGGGGAAGGAGGTAGGAATTTTTGATGTCGGGCCTGGCTTTGATTCTCAGCTCTGCCATTCACCACCTTCACCACCTTGGACAGGTGACCTAACTTCTCTGGGCCTCGGTGTCTTCCTCTGTAGGGTCAGCTGAGTATAAATGAGGTGATATACATAACAAGTATTCAGTACATGGTAGCACTCAGTAAATGGTTGCTACTTTATTTTTGTGCTACCAGTAGAGAGTTCTTATTTTGGCTGTTAGGGATCGTCTTGAGAGGGACACTGACAGGATGTGCCAGTGGGGCAGAATACGTGCTTCCTTGTGAGCATGTAATGCTGTGAATGGCACGTAACAGTTCTTCACAAGGGAAGACACCAGCAAAGAAAAGCAGAGAAGTTCTGTTTAAAAGGAGCAATGCACAGTCCTCTGCCTTTATTTCCTTTCCCCCCGCCTTTCAGAAGAGAGGGTCAGACAGAGGTACATACACGTACTGGGATTTGGGAGTCTCCTGCCTCGGGATGCACATAAAGTGGTTGAGGCATCGCGGGAGTGAGAAGGGAGAAGGGCTGGGACAGAGCCTTAAGTGGCACAGGTATGGAAGTTACAGGGAGGGAGGTCAGGAAAGAGGTGAAGAAGGAGGCAGTTGAAATAGTGTAGAATCTGAGGGATCTGGGTTCCCCATTCATGGTTTGCGTGCCTCTTGGCGTATCACTTTCCTGCTGTACAGACCAGACTCGGTCTTCTAAGGCTCCCTGAGAAGCTCCCTAAATGCCTGAGCTTCTTCATTCTGAACCTACTTGGAAACAAGAACAGGTGAGTCGAGGTCGTGTGATGTCCCTGAAACAGGAATTTCAAGAAGGAACAATGCCAGGTGTTACAGAAATAAATGAGGGTGTGAACTGGGAAGAATGTGTCCAGGAGGGCAGTCTGTCTAGATTAGAGGACAGAGGAATATTTGCAATGTAAGGTGTGGTGTGGAACAGTGTGTGATGAGAATCATTCCACATCCCCTAGCTGACTTTGTGGGTGACATGGCGGTAAGGAAACTGCTTCATACGTTGGGGGAGTGTCATCATGTGCTTGCGTCAGTGACCTATGAATGGAACTGCTTGGGTTTCTTCAATGCAAGGTCAAAGGGAATTTTGAGGTAGTCCATTGCTGGGTGAGACACAGCTGAATCTTCTTGTTTCTCTTTAGGATTTTAATTGCAATTCTCACTTGAAATGCTCTGTCTGTTTTCCACAGACTGATTGTTCCACTATGGATGGAGGGGATGATGGTAACCTTGTCATCAAAAAGAGATTTGTGACCGAGGCAGAACTAGATGAGCGGCGCAAAAGGAGGCAAGAAGAATGGGAGAAAGTTCGAAAACCTGAAGATCCAGAAGGTACGCAGGCTGTCCTCACAGCAGCCCTGCAGAGCAGGTGTCAGTGTCCTCTCTTTGGGGTGGAGGCTCACGGGGCGAGGGAGCCGGAGCTAGGCCCCGGCCCTGGGAGCACAGCCAGGGTGCTCCTGCGCCTGCCCTTGGAGCTCCACTGCACCGTCTTCTAGAACCGCAGCGGTTCTGCTAGTCTGTTCTGTCTAGACATGTGGGTGCAGGACCTCAACGACTGAGGATGCTGCTGCTAGGTCCGGTTTGGGCTGGCCCCTCATCCAGTGAACTGCCTCAGGCCATGGGCCCTGTTGGCATTGACATTTGGCTCTGAGGTCCAAAGGGAGGCTGTGGACTTCGTGCTGTTCTTGTGTTATCCTTGCCCTCAGATCATGCAGGGACTTGACTTGATCTTTAAAGTCCTCCGTGATTCCAAAATAATAAGAAAGAGTTATAAAGTGTGTATTCCCCTCACCCCCCTTTCTCTCTCCCCGTTTCTCTTCCCTTCAGAGTGTCCAGAGGAGGTTTACGACCCGCGGTCCCTGTACGAGAGGCTGCAGGAGCAGAAAGACAGGAAGCAGCAGGAGTACGAGGAGCAGTTCAAATTCAGTGAGCTTCGGAGACCATGGCGCCCGCGGGTCTCTGCAGGGCCTTCTTGATGAACGTTTTTCTAAATAGCCATGGAATTATCTTGACTATTTAGTCTCTAAATGCTTATTTGCTGGAAAAGAGACAAACTTCTGCCTTCTAGACCACGTTGAACATTTTTGTTTAGAGCTCAAGACACCCATTTTAATTCTATGCTAATATCTAGTAATGGGAGAAATGCCTTGATTTTATGCCGTGTTATCTAATCAGAAGCCATGGCGTTTACAAATTCCTTCTTCTAATCCCCTCAAGGACCTGCCGTTTAGAAAAAGGAGAAGGAAAGATTTTATCTGACTGTATTTTCCCTTCAGCCTGCTCAGTGTTCCTTGTTTAATTATTTCCTCAGAAAACATGGTGAGAGGCTTGGATGAAGACGAGACCAACTTCCTTGATGAGGTTTCTCGGCAGCAGGAATTAATAGAAAAGCAGCGAAGGGAAGAAGAGCTGAAAGAACTGAAGGAATACAGAATATCCTTTGTATTTTGAAAGAAGTCTCTGAGGTGTCAGTTTTCCCACCAACATCTGTGGTTGTAGTTGCTCTATACACAGAATGGAGGTCTTCTACCTGGTGATCTCCAAGTGCCCATTCAGCAGGGGTGTTTCCATGACTCTAAATAGCTAGCTGGCAGTGATTTACGGAGTTCCGTTGCATGTAAGAATCCGTTGCAATCAAAAGTCCAGATCCTTTAGGATTAACTGAAGCCCTAAACCCTCATGGCCAGTACCAGGGTGCTCCTGCCTTGCGAGATTAGACTCTGACACAGGGGCTATGCAGTGTACCTCATCCAGGGGGGAACTGTCTTCTGAGTTCTGAAAGAAAACATTTCACAGGTCTCGTGTGTCCTTAGCAACCTTCCCTACAGGTACAGCTAGGTCTGTCCCTGTAGAAGGGCAGAGAAAGCAGCAAAGATGACTTTGCTTCAGCTCCATATTGCCTTTTTAATATCCGCTTGAGTGTCCTAATAGGCTTCCCAAAGGTGACTTGACTAAATCAAAATTCTCGGTTCCGTGCCTCTCTGCCCCATGCTCATCGCGCTGCACCCCCTCCCCACACCTCTTCTTTCTCTGGCCTTTTGGTCTCAGTGATGGTGCTCCTTACACCTCTGGTGCCTGGCTCCGAACTGACCTCCACAGTGTACTCCAGACCGGTCTGGATTGCCGTTGCAGTAGTCATAGACTCTTCTCTGCACTTCTGCGGCCATCTGCTTAGTCTCTGCTTCTGCTCTTGTCCCCAGCAAACCCTTCTCCAGATAGAGTCGAAGGGAACTTTTGAAAACATACATGGGATCTTGTCACTTCCCTGTTTGAAACACTAGTGGCCTTCTGTTGCATTTGGAATTAAGTCTACATTTTTTACCAGGCCCTGTAGGGGGCTCTGCATTACTTAGGCCAGCCCACCTCCCCACTGCACCTTGAACTTACTCCTCCTCGTGGTCACTGTCCCCCAGCCACTGGCCTTCTTTGTGTTTCCCTCTCGCCGGGCTGCACTCTTTCGTCAGCCAAGAGTGCTCGGCCCTCAGGCTTTACAGGGCTGCCTTTCACGGCACTTGGGTCTTGGTTCCTATCCCCCTTCCTCATACAGACTTTCCCTAAGCACCCACGGAAAACTGCACCCCTGCCATCACCGTCTGTTAATGCCATTTTTAAGAGCACTTGTCACTACTCGAAAGTCCCGGTTTGTTTGCCTCTTTCCTGCTGGAATGTGACGTCAGCTCCGCAAGAACATGGGCTTGGTCACCGCTGATTTCCCAGCACGTGGCGTGTAGTAGTTTCTCGGTACACACGTGGGTAAAGTCAAGAAGGACGCATAGGAGAGGGCAGTGGAGCCCCCCTAGCATGTTTCCCCCTATGAAAAATCTCATTGGAATATTTCAAGCTTATATGTTGAATGACTTGACTAGTGTGTCTGAACAGGCTTCTCTTCCAAGATCGATGTGACACTGTGTGTGTTTTTTTTTCTTTTTGCAGGGGGTGTACAGTAGGTTCCATTAAGGAGTTACATGGGGAAAAGTGTGCAAAGATTCATAGGGATTTGGTTTAAACCAAGGCGGTGGTGATTGAAATAAGGTGGCGGCATGGTGCCACAAAACCTCTCTTAACCGGCAGCAAAAGACCTGGCTTCAGTCCCAGTTCTCCTAGTGGCTTTCTGGTGTAATGTCAAGGTAGGAGCTGATGGAAAGTTACACCTCATCCCAACTGTAGGACTGAGACCGACTGCTCTGAAGCCCCCCTCTGCTGACCCCTGAATAACAGTACACATTGGTGTTTGCAGGGAGCGCAGATGCATGGATTGCACTGTTTCAGGCACCAGGCTTTTTCCTCTAAGGAAATAGAGTAATTACGATCCCCACTTGAATTGTCTTGTTTTATGTGCTTAATTTGGCAGGCTGGCAAATAAGACATTGCCTCCCGACGCAGCATTCCGGAGAGCAGTGTGGGCCGTGGCGTGGGTGTGCGAGGTCTCTGGGTTTCCAGTTCAGAGGGAAGGGTGAACGGTGCAGGAGCGAGGAGGCCAAAGGAGCTTTCCTGTCCTGGTGACCTCACGGCCACACTGAAGAGGCCCCAGGGGCACTGGCTTTCACTGGAAACTTGGAAAGTTCGGACTGTGTAGAAAAGCTGAAGAAAAGCAAGCCTTGCCGCTCACTGATGTAAAATGCACTAATCCCAAGGGTGCATGTAGCCAGAGACGTGTTGAGAGGGGAATTGAAGTTTGTTTGTGAAAGCTCTGAACCCGAGCTGGTTATTGGCTTTCACTGATTATTATAATGGGATACATTTCGTACTGTGATGCTTGTGACTACAAATAAGCCGTGGTTTGTGCCATATAGACAACAGAACTTTTTTTCCCTTCAGGTGAACCAGTATTTAGCATATTATGTGTGTTAAAAACCAATTTCAAAAAAATGAATGCCTTTTAATGAATTCCCTGATAGTTTTGAGGTGTGTGTGTGTGTGTGTGTGTGTGTGTGTGTGTGTGTGGTATTTGAAGCGTTTTAGGGGAGAGGGACTTAAAGAGAAAAATACGCTTTGGGTATGGATCAAAAATAACATGATTACCACCTTCCTCCCATCTTCCTCTCTCCCCCAGAAGAAAAGGTGGGTCATTTTTCTTCACTTTGAAAGAATACAAAATTAAGTTTTGGTTTTTATGTGTGTCTTGGTATTATAAATACATGTATACTTTTGTTGTGTTGTTTCCAATTTGTTTCATTTTTTAATATTTAATATTAAGAATTTTCTTTGAGTTTCTATCCCTTCATGACAGAGTTGCAGGTAAAAATCACAGCCTACTCAGTGTTGGGCATTCTGTACTAGGCAGATAAAATCTGTTTCTTTCATTTTTAGTCTTTAAACAATGAACATTTAGCGTTAACACAATATCTGTTTCCATGTGACCCTAAAAACATTAAATCAATGAAACTCAGCCGTACTGAGCATTAGACAGAGTCCCGGTCAGGCACCGCGAGTGTTCAAGGTGACTGGTGTTCCTGGGAACAGAGATGGTGCGTAAAGAGTGGTCAGACGAGACTTGCCTTATTTCTGATACCCCATTTTCTGCACTGCTTAAGGGCACATAAACAGCCTAGACAGTGCACCCCACACCCACCTCTTGAGGTTGATAATGCATGCCTCTCGGATTCCTTGGGCACTAGGTGTCACTGTTGTCCCAGACGGACACTACCGCATCTTGAATAAGGCACAGCTCCCGGTTGGAAAACCCGTCCATTGCATAATGGGTTGAGAGAATGAAAGGGAAGGTGGGGAGGAGTCTCGGGGAGGGGGGCGGGGGAGAACAAAAGGAAGTGACAAACCTTGGAAGCGGAGATTGAATTAGGCACACACAAAAAAGTGATGTAACAAGTGAACTGGTTATGATTCGAAAACAACTTTTTGGTTCCTGTGTTGAATACGCACAGGGGTTTCTCGTTAAAATCTCTGGGAGTGAATATTTGAAACTGGCTCCTGGGCCTCGGGAGGTCCGCGTCCAGTGAGCTTGAGCCAGGAGTGTGCGGTGGCGACAGCGGTGGGCACGCTGACTGTTTGTTAATGAGCCTTGAGTGGTTTTGACGTTGCCTTGCTCCAGCAGAGCCGGAGTGAGTTTTCACCCTAAGAGGGAATGCTGTTAATAGTCATAGGACATTCGGCAAAACTTGATTTTACCCTGAAGGTGGGGAGCAAACGTTTTTAGGGAAGCTGTATTTTTTTTTCTGTTGCATTTACATTCCTTAAGATCTGCGTGTTTCCTAAGGAGCGTGGTATTGACTGTGTGTTTGGTAATAGCAGGCTTTAAGGCCGTAGTCAGGTTCATGGAAAATTAGAGGGAGGAAGTGTGCTTGTCTGTATTATTTTGTGCTTGATTTGCCACCTTCCTGTGTTTCGTTTCTCTTGAATCAGCTGGATTTGGCTGGCAGAATAAAAAGGGGAGGGCGCTTATTTTTTTTTATCAGTAGGCTAAGCGTTACATGGCAGAACCAGAGTGCTCGTGGATTACGTTTGTGTGCCTTCTCTCGGTTTATCATTGTTCTGCCACAGCTTTTCTTTTGGATTAGTTTAGCCCTTAACCTGTAACTCACAGTAATCTCCACAAAGTTGGCATTTCTCCAGAAAACAAGAAGGAAGCGGAGAAGAAAGTGGCCGCGAAACCCCTAGAAACCAAGAGCAAGTTCTCCCAGGCAAAGCTGTTGGCAGGAGCCGTGAAGCACAAGAGGTCAGTCGGCAGTCGCGCTACTTAAACCTCCTTGTGACCAGGTGCTCCAAAATGCCACTTGTAACGGTAGCCAGAGCAACGTTGCCTGAGCGTAGGCCTCCGTGAGGTTTGCTCCCCCCTGCCAAATGTGGTATCGCCTGGAGCCCTGGACCCAGCTCTCCGCCTGACTCCTCGTTCAGCATGATAATAGCTGCTCTTCGCTGGGCACCCGCTGTGCGCCAGGCATTGTGTTAAGTGCTTTTTGCGCGTGATCTCATTTATTCCTCTCAACAAGTCAGTGAAAGACAAAAGAACTGTTATCAGATGAGGGGATGGAGAATTTGAGGGATTGAGCACGCCTTCATCCAAGGTCACAAAATAATAGGAGCAGGGGTTCGATATCTGAGCATTTATGTTTCCAGCAAACGGGGTAGCGAGTTCTAGGAAAGCACTTGTGTGGGGTGCAGACGAACACAGACCAGGGAGGAGGAAGCACCCCGGCCTGGAGGGCGCGTGGGTGCCCCTGCTGGGGAAGTGAGGGAAGGCAGTAGGAAGGAGGGGGTGGGGGGGGGATGACCAGGGCTCTGCCGGGCAGACAGACGGGAGGGGGCGGGGCAGCTGCTGCAAAGGCGCTGTGGCCTGTAAGAACGCGGCAGCTATGACAGGGCCACAGACCTGCCTGGGCTCTGCTTGATTGATGTGGGGGTGGCAGCAGTGGTCGGAGATTTTGGTGAGTCCTTTGTTATGTTTGCTCCTCCCTTTCCAATCCTGAACTGGCACCGAAGTGGTTAAGTCTGGCCATTTCAGTTTGACCACCAAACCGTGGACAAAATGATGTCCAGTTCGTAAGTGCAGTCTATTAGGAAAATCAATATGGTGTATTGTCACCCAGCCACGTGTTTGAAGGGAGGGAGCGTGCTGGTGCAGCCTTGTGGTTTGGCACACCACCCACCTGCTGCAGACGCTGCCGGGAACACTGTTTACATGTGAAAATGTTCTCGTGGTAGAGCGGCAGGAGGGAGGGGAATCAGCAGCCTGAGGAAGGCCGGCTTTCACCTAAGCTTTCAGGACTGCGCCGACAAAGGGCAAAGGGCTCTCTAGGTGGGCAGTTAGGTACCTCCACGGAGTCTTGCTGCTAGCACAATGGGTGTGATACCTCTCAGAGAGACCCTGTATTAGCTTACTGGGTGGCGTGCATGTAACCGCTTTAAGTTTTGAAACTACATTTTGTACTGTTTTGTGTTGCAAGGTGATAAATTAGTCTCCTGGGCAGGAGTTGCTCATGTGTCCAGCCCGGGTTTATCAGAATCACCTGGGAGTTTGTCAGTGTGGCTTCCAGGCCTCCCGCTAGTTCTGGCGCGGTAAGTTTGGAGGGAGGTCTGGGAGTCTATAATCAAGTCTGGTTAACATCCGTCACCACGCACAGTCACAAAATTTTTTTTCCTGTGATGACACCTTCGAAGATCTACTCCCTTAGCAACTTTCAGACTTTCAATACAGTGTAATTAACTGTAGTCACCATATCGGTATATTGCATCCTCAAGACTTATTTTATAACTGCGAGTTTGTACCATCTGAAGGTGGTCAGCTGTATCAGTATTTTTTTTTGTGGTTAGAGCATTTTATATTTTGTTCAAGAAATTTCTTCCTACCCTGAGGTCATTAGAGAGTTTTTCTTCTAAAAGTTTTAGAGTTTTATCTTTCACATGTTAGTCTTTAATCTTTCTCTAACGGATTTTTGTGAAGGGCATGAGGTAGGGATCCCATTTCAATTTTTTCTTCAAACAAAAAGCACATTTTCTAGCAGCATTTACTAAATACACCCTTTTTTCCTCCAGTGACCTTTAATGTCTTAGAACAAGTTCCCATATGTATTTGTGTCACAAGTTTCCATACATACTTGGGTTGTTTGAGGGTTCTTTTTTTTTTCCTTGTCCTTGGGTCTGTTGGACCAGGATCATTCTGTGTGATTATTGTAGCTTTTAGTAAACCTTGATGTCTGGTAGGGTGAGTCCCCTTACATTCTTCCCAGAGGTGTCATTTCTATTTTTGGCTACTTTGTTCTTCCATATAAATTTTAGATTTAAGTTCTTGAAAAATCTTATTGGGATTTTATTGAAATGTTACTAAATTGCTTGTTAAATGTATGGAGAGAACAGATCGTTATGGATTTGCGTCTTCCTGTCCATGGCATGCATCCACATTTATTGGTTTGCTTTAATGTCATTCTATAAAGTCTTAATGGTTAGTTTTCAAAAAAGTTGTGCACATTTTTTAATTAAATTTATTCCTAAATACTTATGTATATTTTTGTTGCTGGTGTGTAAAAACACAGTCGATGGAGTATTTACATCCAGCCACTAGTTCTTACTAACTTTAATAATAACTCTTTAGTAACTTTTATTAACTATAATAATTTATCAGCAGATTCTTTTGAAATTTCTACGCAGAGTTACCATCCTTGAATAATGACAATTTTATTCTCTTCCTTATATCTTTTAATTCCTTTTTCTTATCTTACCTCGCTAGCTAGAATTACAAGTGAAATGTTAGAAACAAATCTGCGCATTCTTGTTTTAGCTCTAATTTTAAACATAATGTTAGTAAGTTTTTCACACTAAGATGAACTTTTATCGCTTGCTTTTTTCAGATATCCTTTGGCAAGTTAAAGAAGTTCTGTTCCTAGTTTGATAAGAGGTGTTTTTGTGTGTGTGTGTAGTCATGGACTTCAAATTTTGTCTAATTTTTTCTGCTTTTGATTTGAAAATAATTTTTTTCTTTACTCTGTTAACAGTGAACAATTAAATTTATAGGGTTTGTCTAATGTTGCATTCCTGTGAGAAACCCAGCTTGGCAGTGATATCTCATGATTTTTCTTAACGCCACTGGCTTGTTCTACTAATATTTTGTATCGGTTGTTGAATGTTGTTGAATATATATTCTTGAGTGAGGCTGTTTCATATTCCCCAACCCACTCCCCAGTTTTATCTGATTTTGACATGAAGATTAAAACTGTTTTCACAAAATGATTAGGGGGTGTTCTTTTTCTGTTCTCTGGAGGAGTTTGTGTAATATAGGAGAGTTCTCTTTTATGAAAATAAATTTGGGAGAACTCCTGTGTAAAATCATTTTGATCCCTCCTTTTAAAATTTGTGATTATAGGAGTGTTTAAGTTTATTCATACCTTTTTGAGTCAATTATATTTGGTTAAATTTTCTGGGAATTCATCCATTTTGTCTCATTTCAAGTGCGTTAGCTAATTTGTTAGTATTTTTTTTTCTGATGGTTGCTCTATCTGTAATTGTCTCATTTTTTTAGATACACATCATAAGTATCTGATTGAAAATTTAGACAGGACTTCCGGCCAAGATAGAGGTACAGGTAGACACACTGTGCCTCCTCGCACAATCAAAAGCAGGACAACAACAAATTTAAAAACAAAAAACAACCAGAACTGGCAGAAAATCAACCTGTATGGAAGTCCAACAACCAAGGAATTAAAGAAAAAACACTCACCCAGACCGGTAGGAGGGGCGGAGACGGGCAGCTGGAGGGAGAGGACTTGCGACAAGGCGGCGGCTGGAGGACTGGGCCGTCCCACATCCACGTGCGGAGAAACCGGGAGGAACAACTGGGGAGCGAGTCAGACCCGCAACCCCGGGCCCCAGCGCCGGAAACAAAGCCTCAGACCTCTGACCAAAAACACCTGTGGGGGCTGTGGCGGCAGCGGCAGAAACTCCCACCCTCACCGGAGAGCTCGTTGGAGAGACCCGCAGGGTCCTAGAACGTCCGCAGGCCCACCCACCTGGGAGCAGCACCAGAGGGGCCCACTTCGCTGGTGGGGAGCAGGGGAAGTGATCGGTACCCGGAAGAAAGCGGAGCAAGCACCATTGTTCCCTCTTCGACCCTGCCCCGCGTACAGCGTCACAACCCAGCGACATGGGTGGCCCCGCCCAGGTGAGCACCTAAGGTTCCGCCCCTCATGCGTAACAGGTGCGCCAACAAACAAAATGGCCCAAATGAAAGAACAGATCAAAGCTCCAGAAAAAATATAACTAAGCGATGAAGAGATAGACAACCTATAGATGCACAGTTCAAAACCCTGCTAATCAGGATGCTCACAGAATTGGTTGAATATGGCCACAAATTAGAGGAAAAAATGAAAACTGTGAAAAGTGAAATAAAGGAAAATGTACAGGGAACCAACAGTGACGGGAAGGAAACTGGGACTCAAATCAATGGTTTGGACCAGAAGGAAGAAAGAAACATTGAACCAGAACAGAATGAAGAAAAGAATTTTAAAAAATGAGGAGAGGCTTAGGAACCTCCAGGACAGCTTTAAACATTCCAACATCTGAATCATAGGGGTACCAGAAGGAGAAGAGGAAGAACAAGAAGTTGAAAATTTATTTGAACAAATAATGAAGGAAAGCTTCCCCAATCTGGCAAAGGAAATAGACTTCCAGGAAGTCCAGGAAGCTCAGAGTGTCCCAAAGAAGATGGACTAAGGAGGAACACACCAAGGCACATCATAATTACATCAGCCAAGATTAAAGATAAGGAGAGAATCTTAAAAGCAGCAAGAGCAAAGGAGACGGTTATCTACAAAGGAATGCCCATAAGACTGTCAGCTGATTTCTCAAAAGAAACCTTGCAGGCAAGAAGGGACTGGAAAGAAGTATTCCAAGTCATGAAAGGCAAGGACCTACATCCAAGATTGCTCTATCCAGCAAAGCTATTGTTGAGAATGGAAGGGCAGATAAAGTGCTTCCCGGATAAAGTCAAGTTAAAGGAGTTCATCATCACCAAGCCCTTATTATGTGAAATGTTAAAGGGACTTAATCTAAGAAAAAGAAGATAAGAAATATGAACAATAAAATGACAGCAAACTCACAATTATTAACAACTGAACCCAAAACAAAAACAAACTAAGCAAACAACTTAGAACAGGGACAGAACCACAGAAATGGAGGTCACATGGAGGGTTAGCAGCGGGGGAGTGGATGGGGAGAGAGGAGGAAAAGATACAGAGAATCAGTAGCATAAATGATAGGTAGGAAATAGACAGGAGGAGGTTAAGAATAGTATAGGAAATGCAGAAGCCAAAGAACTTACATGTACAACCCATGGACATGAACTAAAGAGGGGGAATGTGAGTGGGAGGGGGTGTGCAGGGCAGAGGAGAAAATGGGACAACTACAATAGCATAATCAAAATATATTTAAAAAACAATGTAGGTTTACATTTGTTCCTACAGAAAATAATGCAATAATTAATAAATAATACAAGAATAAAAAAATCTAGTCTGTTGATCTCCTTTTACTGGTAGATTGGATTTATTAGGATTTTTATACAGTTTTTACTATCTTAATGTTATTTGTCTTAGAAGAGTTTTTTCTTGCTTTTTAGAAAAATTAAGATTAAAAATATTTTATTCATTTTCTTTTCTTTTGCTAGTTTGGATTTAAGTATTCTATTTCTGTTCTTTTGATGGCCAACCTTACAACCGACCAGGCATACTTAGCAAAACCTAAAGTAAATAGCTACCTTACTTCCCTACAAAATTATACACTGACCTTAGGACTTTTAGCTACAATCACCTTCTTCCTTTCTTACATGCTACTGCTGCTTACCACTTTAGCATGGTCGTGTTTAACACCACAAATTAGATGTTATTTTTTTTTATAGAGACAACATTTGTTCAGATTTATATTCGTATTTGTCAGGGTTGCACCCCCCTTCCCCCGCCCACCATCCTTTCCTTCTGAGATTATTCCCTTCCTCATTGAAGTACATTGTTTAGACGTTCTTTCATTTAGTTATTTTTGTAATTTTAAAAAGACTTTCTTTTTAGAGGGAGGGGAAGGGAGAGAAACGTCAGTCGGTTGCCTCTTGCACACACCTCGACGGGGAACTGAACTCGCACTCTGGTGCGCCCTGACAGCCGCACCCTCACAGGGACTGGATGGGCAACCTCCCACTCGGCCCAGCACCCCCCCAGCCCGCTGAGCCTCACCAGTCGGGGCATAGGTGTTCTTTGGTGAAGGTCTTTTTGATAGACTTTCAGAATCTCTAGCATGTCGCTAAAGACGTTTCCTTTGATCTTTAATAACTAGATTTTTGTCATTTATGATCATGACCAGATATTCTTGAAATCCATCCATGGTTTTAACCAAGATGAATGATAGGACAACAAAGAATCAAAAGTTTAGGTAACGGTTGAGCATATAATGGTTTACCTCTTGAACTGCTCAGGGGTTTAAATTGTCTTTATACCTAATGATACAGCTAGAAGGAGACTTTGCAATGAAGCCGTTTTATTTCAGATTGTTTCTGTTCTGCAAGGCTACCCAAGATCCATGTAAGTGGTTATTGGAGCTCCTGATTCTCAAGGCTTTGATCCCAGGATCGGATTTAGCTCACATCACCGTGTTTTTTTGTTACAGCTCAGAGAGTGGCAACAGTGTAAAAAGACTGAAATCGGACCCTGACCCAGATGACAAGAATCCAGGTGGGTGACAGCCTTCATTTCGTTCCTTACTTACAGTGCGCGTGGCCACAGTAGAAGACTGGAAGGCGCTGTGACTATGAGTGAGTGCGTGTGTGTCTAACAAGCCTACTTAAACTTGATTTCCCGAAAGGTTTTCACCCAGCAGGATTCGCACCCGGGGGCACGTCCGCTGCCCTGCACGGTGTTACGTGGGAAACCCGCGGTGCTGACGATGGCAGTGTGCTCCCTGGGAGCGCTGCCAGAGCCAGGGCCCTCGTCACATCTCTGCGTCTGACAAAGGACTTTTCTCTGTTTTCCCCAAATGTCGAGTTTCTTCATTTCCCCCCGCTGGCTACCAGAGAGAGGTAGAATGCCTGGCTCGCGCTGCTGGTTGGGTTGGATTGAGCCCAGTTTTAATACAGTTCCCAGGAGTACACTTTCTTTGGTGGGTGCTTTTGTGTGACCCAGTCTGGCACCGTGTAAGTGGCAGAGTTCTACGTGAAGGTGAGCTGGGTCCTGGGGGCTGGAGCAAGAATGAGAAATTCAGGAGTGCTTTCAGTTCTGCCCCTGCCTCCCTGCGGGATCGACAGTCAGAGCTGAGCTCAGCGGGTCATCTATAAAACGGTTTACGTTTCTCTCTCTCTCCCTCTAAAAAAAAGATATTTTAAAATACGCATCTACCGAGCACCAGTAATGGTCAGCTGTTGCTGACGCCTTTTTGCTGTAGAATCCGCTTTTAAAAAGGAACATTCAGTGAAGAGTCTCCCTGTGTAAACTCTTCCACCTGTGTACCCTCTTCCGTCCAGTTCTCCTTTCCAGAGGGAAACAGTATCATACATTTCTTATGTATCCGTCCAGAGCTGTTCTCTGTAGGTACAAGCAATTACAAATACATTCTTTTTAAAAAATATAGATAACTTAAAACATTCAGATGTTTAAATGATAGTATAATGAACCCCATCACATAGCTTCTACAATTTATAACATGTATCTGGTCTCATTATTGCCTTCCCACTGTGGTATTCTGAGGCAAATCCTCAACATGAAATTGTTTCATCCATAATTACTTTTTTTTAAAGATGTTATTTATTTATTTTTAGACAGAGGGGGAGGGAGGGAGAAAGAGAGGGAGGGAAACATCAAAGTGTGGCTGCCTCTTGCGTGCCCCCTACTGGGGACCTGGCCCAGTCAGGGCATACCCAGGCATATGCCCTGACTGGGAATCGAACTGGCGACCCTCTGGGTTGCAGACTGGTGCTCAACCCACTGAGCCACACGAGCCAGGGCTTGAGTTAATATTTATATGTGTGTGAGGAAGGGGTCCACTTTCATTCTGTGCGAATGTCCAGTTGGCCCAGCACCATCTGTTGAAAAGACTGTTCTGCCCCCACCAAGTTGTCGTGGCGCTTCTGTTGAAAGTCAGTGACCAAACGTGAGCTTGTTTCTGGACTCTCTCCCTTCCACTGTTTTATGTATGGCTGTCCTTACTGCCGTCGCCACGGTCTGGGTCACTACAGCTTTGGAAGTGTGAGCCCTCCAGCTCTGTTCCTTCTCCGGGTCCCCTGCATTTCCATATGAATTTGGGGATCAACTTGTCAGTTTCTGTAACCAAGGCAGCTGGGGACAGGGATTGCTCAGATCTACAGATCAATTTGGGAATGCTGCCATCTTATGGCATCTTAACACGACACAGTATGTCTTTTAAGTCTCGTTTAACTCAGACGTCTTCCTTTTTTAGTTTAGTTTTCGTTTCATTTGCACTTTGTTTGTGAGGAAGCTGCGTCCTCGTCCCGTGGAGTTTCTCGCGCTCCAGATCTTGCTGCCTGCATCCCCACGGCGCTCCTTTACATCCTGTGCTTCCTGTGACGTGGGAATTAGGCCTCGCGCGTGATCGAGCCACGCTGGTGTTTTGGCAGGAATACTTCGTGTCTTGTGTTTCTGTACTTCCTCTCGTCGTCATTGTTCTCACCAGCCTGCTCTCTCGTCCACTGCTTAGCTCTCTTACGGCACTCGGGGGGGCGTGGCACATCTGCGTGAGAGGAGCCTCTCCATCCCTCCTTAGGGCTGCAGTGTGCCATGATGTGGTTGTACCGTAGTACGTTTACCCTGTTTTTCACTGATGAGCGTTCAGATCGTTTCCATTCTTTCTCTGTCACGGTGTTGCATCAAACAACCCTACACACGCGTCACTGTTACATTCACAAGTATATATCGGGGTAAATATTTGGAATCATCGGGTCAGAAAGATACACATTTGTAATTCAGGTAGGTGTTGCCAAATCGCCCTGCAGAGAAGTTAACCCCAGTTTCCGTTCCCATCAGCACTCTAGGATTCCATTTCAGTGATGTGTTTGTGATACGTAGGAAACTCGCTAAACTGCTTGCGTAGAATAAGTATTTACCGTGTGTTTGTGTACACACGCATATATACCACTTCACCTTAAACATTCCAACCTGTGAATCGGGAGCTCTGCAGCTGGTGCTTGTTCCCAGGTGGGAACCATGTGCGAGAATCAGTGGAAAGGAAAACTGGTGTGGGGTCTTTGCATTGAGGCAGACACGTGTTTCACAGCGGTCTCTTTTGACATTGTGAATCTCCTCTTCTTTCCCCTTCTTACATTCTTACAACAGAAACTGAGCGAGGCATGTCCTCTTGTTAGGGGCTAAGGCCACACAGGAAGAATATCTCCTGTGCGTTGCTTCCGAGTCTCGTCCTCGGCGGTAGCAGGATTTGCCCCTCTGGTCCCCCAGCAGACAGCTCTGCGGCCCCAGTGGAGGAGATTCAGGCTTCCCGGCTGGAGGCTCTGGGCTTGCACTGTGCGCAGAGCCAGTGAAGGCACGAGTTGGCCCCATCTACTCGCAAGTCACGCATCTGCATGAGTCCCCAGAACGTTCTCTGTTAGTAATTTTCAGCATTCATTTGGCATGACAATGTGGTCCCGCAAATGCAGCACTTGGCAGGAAACTTCACCAAATGGGTGAGATCAGAGGGCACCGCTTTGTTCTCTCTGGACAGTTGGCTGCTTTTGGAATGAAATTTGTCAGACTCGCAGTCTCTTCTTTCTTGAAACCGCCTAGACAGCTGGGAGATTTGGTCTTTTGGCTTAAACTCTGCTGATGCCCCAGAGGTCCAGATTTTTGGTTGCGTGTCTGTGGCTGATTGCCATCCTTCCCACAGGCCAGCTTAGGCCTCCACAGGCACCCTGAACTCGATCCTTCTTTCGGTCTAAGAAATTCGCCATTGAAATACCCAATAAAATGTCATATCTCACTGAGCAGCCTCACATAAATTATTGTTCTAAGTCACTGACTCCTACCCTTATAAGATACCAGGTTGTTTTTTTTTTTTAAACAACCGCATTTTTCTAACAATACTGGAAGTATCACTGTATATGTGACTCAATAATACAGAGAATGCTCAAGTAATAAACGGCAAACAGTTTGATGTTTGTCCACAATTTTCATACACCTCTCTCCCCATCTCGCCTAAAATAACTTTCGCCGTTGGCAATGAGACTCAGTAGAGTGTGTGCACCGCACTGCCCCGAGTTCTCACTCACACGGCGCGACCACGGCCCCTCGGTGCTGGGCCCCACACCGTGTGCCCGGGGGAGGCTGAGGAGGCTGCCCTTGCCCGCAGCAGACCTGGGCTTGCGGGGGGGCAGCCCCCGTCACCGTTGGGGCTGCCCGGTCCTCCACCGCCCTCCTGGCTGTCAATACAGGGGTGCCCTGTATTGGTTACAGAGACGTGTGGGACTGTCCCTCCCTAAGTTTTTAAGAAAGATTTTGTTTATTCTTAGACGGGGGGAAGGAAAGGAGAACAAGAGGGAGAGAAACATCTCTCGCATGTGCCCAGGACTGGCCCGCCACCCAAGCACATGCCCTGACCGGGGATCGTACGGGAGCAGGAGTCAATTTAGTACATTATTTTTTGATTCAGATTCAGTTTACCATTTTCTACTCTAAGTGGCCTTTAACTCTAGCAGGTCATTTGACCTCGCTTGTCGGTCAGAGCGGGGATAACGCATGGCAGGTTGTGGCGGTTAAATGAGGCTGGAAACAGGTAGAAGGAAGGAAGGGAGTAGAGCTCTTAACTTCCCCTTAACCTTTAGGTCCTGTGTTTTCTGGACTGAGGCTTTCTGTCACGAACGAAGGTGGCAGTGTAACTGGGTGTCCTGGGGCAAAGGAGCCTCAGCCTGCTTGGTGACGCTCTGCATGGTCTTAAAATGCTCTCCGACTGGGATTCCGTTTCCTCGCTTGTAGAAGAGGACCACGGCTGTGAGCTGGTGGGGTGACGGGGCTGCTGCCCACGCAGGGCTGCTCCCAGCGGGAAGCCCTCAGCACGGCGCCCGGCGCCCAGCACAGGGAAAGTGGGCCATCGACTTTGGAAGAGGGTGGTGAAGTGACAGTCCTCCCTCCTCCTTTGCAGAGGCCCCGTCCTGCGTGTCTCTCGGAAGCACGTCCCTGAGCAGTCCCTCCATCCACTGCCCCTCCGCTGCGGTCTGTATCGGCATCCTCCCGGGCCTGGGCGCCTACTCGGGAAGTAGCGACTCCGAGTCCAGCTCTGACAGCGAAGGCACCATCAATGCCACCGGCAAGATCGTCTCCTCCATCTTCCGAACCAACACCTTCCTCGAGGCCCCCTAGCTCCCGAGTCCTCGCCGCAGGGAGCCCCTCCCTGGGAGGGGACTGGGTGGCGCATCTGCCTGCAGGCATCACCTCCCTCCGAGAACTGTTTGCCTGTCCCCTGTGCACACCGGGACGTTTTTAACCTCGTCTAAACAACGTGCCGGCATCCGCCTGTGGCGCCACCTGCGTCTGGTTCCTCCACTCCAGCGCAGATGCCCAGACCTGTCCCTCTGCCTTTCTCCTCACTGACGTGGGGGTCGGGGCCGGCAGAAGCTCCACTAAAAATGCCCGGGGAAGGTGGGACTGTGGGCTTGCACCGGGTTTGGGTTATGTTGTTTTCTTGGGTTTTTTGGTTTGTTTGTTTGTTTTTTCCTTTTCCAACAGCACAGGGAAGCAAGGGCCACCACTCTCGGGCAGATGTGACTTTAAACATCCCGTTCTAGATGAGCACGCGGTTTGGTGACACTGCGCTGTGGAAACCCGGCGGGAGAGGGCGGCCCCGGGAGCTGGCCTGGCGCACTCCCCGGGGACTAACCGGTTCTGGATGTTGCGTGACTCAGATTAAAAACTGCATCTGCAGGGGTGTCACGTAACGCTCGTCATTCCGCGTGAAGCGCGTCCTCACCCCTGGAAAACTGAGTCCGTCTCCTCCCGGTAGCTAGTCCCGTTTCGGACCCTAAACCCCAGAGAGGCGCACGCAGGCCTGGTTTCCTCAGAGCCGGGAACCAGAAGCGCTAGCAGGGATGGGGACGAGGCGGCTTGTTTTTGGCAGCCCGGGGTCTTGGATGCCGAAAACCAGCTCGGCGCACCTGCGTGCTCTGACCGCACTCAGAACCCTGTCAGGGTCCTCTCTGGGTGACACCTTCACGGTTGTGGCTTCCAACTACGGAAGCTGTTTTTAGCTTACAGTACTGCCCTAATCCTTTCCTCTTCTTTTATCTTCTCTTCTCTCCTGCTCCCCGTTTCCCCGCTCTCTTCCCTTCCCACCCCACCGGGAGCAGCTCCGAGGCTGGGGGCAGCCAGGTCCTAGAGGTACCGCCCACCTCTGTGTCTCGCAGTGGGAGGGAGGGAGGGACGGAAGGGCCAGGTCTGGGGGCCTCGAGGGCAGAGGTGGCCATGGGCTTCAATGACCGTAGGCCGCCGCCCTGCCTCAGGAGAACGGGCCTGGGCGGCTCTCCCCTCCCCTGGGTGCCTGCATCAGTCGTTTCCGCCCCCTCGGGTGTGAGACGGAGGGAGGCACACGCGCGGGAGGTGTTGACACTGAGACGCTGGCAGGCAGAGGAGCTGCGTGGGCAGAGGGGCCCCTGGATCTCGGCCAGCCCGCCCCTCTCCCCTCCCGTGCAGCGCCATCCTGCCGGCCGCTGGCAGACGGTGACTTCCCTTCACCCCCGACTGTGGCCCTGCGGTCCTTCCTCCTTTTCAGGACGACTCTGTGCTAATCGCTCCTGACTGTCAGGACAGGCGCGTCGGCTCCACTGTCACGAACGAGACACGTAGGTAAGACCAGGCCGGCACCTGCTGCTCCTCCGCTTCCCCGTCCCTGCGAGTGTGCCCACGCTGTGACAGGGCGTCCCCGCAGCGAACCTCAGATCGCCTCGGGAGGCAGACCGCGGCGTCAGGGCTGCCCTGTTGGGGCGGTCCGGCTCTCAGGAGGCCCTCCCCACACCTCACGCCCTGCCGATGTTGGACGGAGCTGACCAAGGGGTGCAGGACTTGAAGAGAGGCTTGCTTTCCAGGCTCACAACCAGATCTAGCTTTTCCTACACCGAGTCTGTGTCTGTGCCCCCTCCTCCCTCCCCATCGACCGTAGCAGCGGCCGTGTGTGGGAGGCTGCGGCTCCTCGGACGGCAGTTCCTGCTCACGGGGTCCCGGGCGAGGCGGAGCGTCACGGGCGATCATTTCGCTGTGTTCCTTGGTGCCTGTCGGAGTGGGGCGCGGGAGCCGGAACACGGGCTCTGCAGAAGCCACGAGGGCGAAGCAGGACCTGGTCTGCGCAGCGGATGAGCAGCCCTGGCAAACAGCCGCCGTGGACCACATGACTGAGACCCAACGAAGGGAAACCAGGGCAGGAAGGAAACCCTGTTGAAACCCTGAAACGCAGCGCTCCCGCCTTACTGGACACCTGGGGTTTCAGAACTAGGCAGTGGGGGTGGACACAAAGTTGCGTGGGTTTCTTTAAGCCTGCTCACACCGTCCTGAGTGATGCCCGCACAGCTCTTCAACTGCTCGAGGGAGAAAGGTCGCCCCTCAGGAGTCCTGCGGCGGCAGCTCTGTTCGGATTATCTAGTTGGTGTCGCACCGGGTGCTCCTGACCGCCTCCTGATAGCCATCGACCTTCGGCGTGTCGCCCGCCTCGGTGGGGACAACGGAGAGCATGCACTCCAGAGCATCCGTGTCCGTCCATTCTGTGAGCAGGGATGCTGCTGTGACTAGACCTACTGGGTGGCTGGCGACCTGTGTATGCATGCTGCCCCAGCACCCGGGAGGAGAGACAGCTGGCTCTTCTAATTTGGGGCAGGGATAGGGAGAGCACCCGAGCTTTTTCCAGGAGCATTCTGGGCTGAAAGTCGAGCTCCTAACTGGGAGTGACTCAGGCTCGTCCCGTGCCCTTTTTTCACCGTCCACCGCAAAGGTCCTTCCCCTCTGGCTGCCTCCTTTCCACCCGAGAGAGCAGCTTCATTTGTCGAGGGTGTTACCCCTGCTTCTCCCTGGCAATCAGCCTGGTCCCCCCTCCGTGGATACACCGTAGTGGCTGTGAGCTCGGAGCCAGACGTTCACTCGCTGGGTCGCTTGAGCAAGGTCCTCACCCACTCCAGGCCTGTTTCCTCCTCAGTCAGTGCGACAGCGACACCAACTGCCCAGCAAGGGTGAGCGAGAATGGAGGTCGGCCAGCCCCTGGCGGTGGGGCTGGCCCACAGCGCCCAGGGGGCAGCAGGCACCCGCGTCAATACTGTTGGCGTCGGCCTCCCTGGCGTCGGGGCGGGGTGTCCGGGGCTTCCCTTAGTGGTGATGGAGGGCAGGGTTTTCCCCGTCCCACCGGCTCTCCTGGGTTGCGGCCACACCACCGACAGGATGAGGGTCAGCTGTGGTTGTCAGAGCTCCAACCGCCAGCTTGTTCTGTGTGCTTCCCTCTTCGCTAAATGTTCATTGCTCAGGCACACGCGGTGCCTTGGCTCGGATGCCTGGCCATGGGTATGTGGCTCAGCTGCCATCCAGAGCCCCTCCGGAAAAACACAAAGGAGACCTCGGTGTGATTTCCCAGAGGGCCTCGGGGAGGGAAGCAGGGCTCCCGGCAGCCCCGCAGCCCTCTCAGGAGAAGAGAAGGCGTCCCTAGAGGGTATCTCAGCTGACTGTCGGTTGGTACAGAATCAGCAGGTGCACTGAAAACTTAAGGTGAAAAAAACAAACTTAAGATGAAGATACCTCTCACTCACTCCTACCAGACACACACTGGCCCTGGAGGCCACCAGGTAGGAGTCTGCCTCATGCACCGTCCAGGTACAGAAAGCCACTAGTGAGAATTACCTGGGAGAGGAGGTCACGGTGAGTGACTGCCCAGTCTCGGCAGAGAGGAAGGACAGACAGACCTGCTTGAGCAGAAGGCGCAGGGTCGAGGGAGGACGTTGGAGGCAGTGGGACCAGAGTGGGCTCTGGAGCCTGCCTCCAGCAGATCCGATTCGCTTCTCTGCTCGTTTCCGCGTCTCCGCGGTGGTCACCGACAGGCTGTTGAGAGGGTTCATCAAGATGCACCTGGACACGGAGCGGGGCGGGAGACAGTGCTGAACACAAGTGCCCGTTGTCACTGGGTCTCCACAAGCCTGTGGCGAAGGGGCTGCCTGGAGCTCCCGCGGGCAGGGGGTGGGGGAGGGGCCGGGGGGTAGGATAAAGGAGGGGAAGGTGTGTCACATGGAGGAGGGAGGGAACTGAGAGGGCGGCTGGGGCTTCAGAGGAGACTGGTCTCTTGGCTGGTTCCTCACGGAGCTGGGCCCGAGCCCAGAGAGGGGCACGCAGTGGAAGCCAGTGGCTGCTGTCAGCAGGGACGGAAGCAGCCTTGCCAGCGTCCGAGGCCAGGGAGTCTGTACGCACAGCCGACTGCAGGGCAGACCCCAGTGTCGGGGAGACCTGTAGGGGAGGCAGGCGGGTGGCAGCGACGGCTGTGTGTGTGCGCGTGCGAGGAGGGTCAGAGCACAGGGACAGAGCATGGACCAAGAGGAGGAAGGGCAGTGATCCGGTTGGACCGGCTGGGCCGGTGTGTGGGGGCGGCAGAGACACTGGCATGGGCTCTGCAGGGGCCAGAACACCTCCAGTCGCCGCCGAGGCCTATGCGTTCTGTCCACTCCCAAGCACTTATTGGGCACGTGTGTTCACTGCGCCCGGTTCTGTGCCAGTTTAACAGGACGATCACTGTGTGTGTGGAATGCGGGTCCCCAAGGGATGGCACCAGCCTCACGGGCTTGCTGGGGGGCAGGGGTTTTCATGTTCATGTCCCAACTGGTGAGCCCACGAGGTCCCAGCTGAGGACAGAGCTGACACGGACGTCTGAGACCCCTTTGTTGCCCTGAGTATAAAGTATAAAAATAGGACACGGTCACGGCACCGAAAACAGAGCAGGAATTAGGCGCAGGCTGCGACGCAGAGAGAGTGCACCAGAGAGAGACACGCTCCTCTCAGAGTCGGCAGCTAGTTACGATTGTAAAAATTTTATTCTCTTTAATAACAATAATTATTCCACGAAAATTATACAAAGTACATTCAATGATTAAGAGTGGCGGGGACAGGAGGAGAGGAAGCCAGTTTGGCCCGGAAGCATCGTGAGCCGACTCCAACAAAGGAAGCCCAGCTGGGCTGGGGAACTTGGGGGTGGAGGTCCGATTGTAAAAAATAAACATGTGGATCATTAAAAAAAAAAAAAAGGCCACCCCTAAGGAAGCAGGGTGAGCACGCGTGTTCCTGGGGGGGAGGGGGGGGCCCGCCGGCATGCTGCTGCTGCTGCTGCTGCACTGCGGGGGCTGGCGCTCAGGCGGGCTCCGAGTGGGAGGGGGGCAGGTTTTTATGCTTGAAATACTGCACGACTTGTTGGGGCAGCTCCGCCAGCACAGCCTTGGCCAGGGTCTCTTTCGCTGCCTGCAGGGCGGAGGGTGGGGTTTGGAGAGGAGAGAACAGGGGTTACTGGGCAGCAGTTGCGAGGGGCACCATTCCCAGAGAGCTGCTCCCGGAGGTGTCCCTGGGGGATAGCGTCTGTCTGAAACTGATACCCCCCACCCCCGTCCCCATCCAGGTCCGAGGGCCACTATTAGTGCCGTCCTTTAGGCTAAGTATAACCATTACCGTGAGCACTTGGGATGCCCGAGAGTAACATTTTAGGAAGGATTTGCCTGTGGGGGGCTCTCCGGAACAAGAGCCGGTGGGAGGCAAGCTGCCCGGCCCCCTCGTCTGGCAGACATCTCCCGAGCACCCTCTCGGCTGGCGTAAACGAGCTGTGACTGTCTGGTTCGCTGCTGCACGCCCAGCCAGGGAGGTGCTCGGTCAATGTCGGCGGGAACAAAGGGTGGTCCATGCCTGGCATTTGTCCTCAGCTCCTGCTCCAGAGGGA